GCTGCTACCTGCCTGTTGGGACTTCTTTATGGGGAGGGCATATTCAGGGGATGACCACCTTACATGGCATTACAGACTTGCAGTAGCAACCAGGGGAGGGCCCTAGCAAAGTCAGAACAGACAGAAGGAAGTGGGGAGGACAGAGCAGAAAGAGGGGCTGAGGAAGGTAGCTGAGATGGGGGGGGGAGACAAACTCCCTGTAAAGTTCAGAGGGGGAGGGAAGAAGAGATGTGAACCGGCGGTGGTGGTGGGCCCTGGGGCAGAGGCAGGGGCAATCAGATACCTGCCCGCCTGCCTTCTGGCTGGCACTCCAGCTGTCCTGGGAGGTGCTTCATTCCCAAGGAAGAAGTAAACCCCCCCCCCGCTTAGCCAGCTCCCCCCTCCCTGTGAGCAAAGAAGGGGGTGAGAAGGACTTTGCCTCCCCCAGACCCTGAAGCTGCTAAACTGCTGCAGTCCCTTGGCTGGCTATGAGTGCCCCCCCCCCTGCCCAGGGATCAGCCTCTGTGCCAGGTGGTGGGCTGCAGAATCAGCCCCCCCCAACCAACGAAGGCTCCTGCAAAGGCCCAGCGTGCCAGTTGGGGAGGTCTAGGTGTTTGCCTGTCGCAGAGAGCCACCTCTTCTCATGATGCTGGTTAGAGCAAGGGCTCGTGGTTTTAATGTTGATGCTCCTGCTTTGCATGGTGCTTGCAAAGTGGCTGGGGACAGAGCTTGACTGTAGACACCCTCCCCCCCCCAAAAAAAAAGCAATCTAGTGGACAATAACTAAGACAGGAGCTGTCTTGGATGGGACCCCGTCCCACAAAAGAGCTTGCCTTAGGGGAGCACGGGGAGACTCGGGACCCTGGTTGTTCACAGCACCCCTGAGTGAAAGATGGGCCCTGCTCCCTTATCTTGTGCCCTCCAAAGCCCAGAAGGAGGAGTCCCTTGGGGCAGCCAGGATTGCAGCGCGGGGGCTTCTCCCTCCACCAGCCGGCTGGCGGACTTCCACTGCACTGGGGTGGTTCGGCCAAGCGGTGGTGGTGGGTGGCGCTGGGCCCTTTGTGTGTGTGTGTGTGTGGGGGAAGCAGGGGCTGACTGAGCACCTGCTACAGGTGGACCCAGAGGTGGGGGGGGGGCTAGCAAGATAGCCCAGAAATGCATTCCTGCCCTTTCTCCCCTGGCTGTTTCCGGGGAACTCTGGGGTGCTGAGCCCTCTCTTCCCTGATGTCGCCTGGCTCCCTCCCCTGGTCTCTTCCTCCATCCGGCCTCCTCTCCTCCTCCAGGGCTCCAGCAGCAGCCAGCGCTGCAGTGTGTGCCGGGCCGGGCTGGCCCCAGGCAGCCTGCAAGGAACCA